CCCTCCTGCAAAGCCCTGCTTCCTGCAGGAGCCATCTCTGGTACGTGGTCCTGTGCCCACCTGATCTTTCTTAAGGGCTTAGAGCATGAAGGGGCAAGGAGAAGACAACAGAAGGAGCTGTTTGGGTCGTGGCTTGGAGTTGAGACAACCTCTTTCCAGATCACTTATTACAGAAATGATTTATTTTGTAAAGCAGTGCTTCTGGCTGCTCCCAAAAGGGCTTCTGAAGATGTCTTCTGAAGGGGAAGGCTGCAATGAGTGGGAAAAACTGCTTGCGAGGGAGGAAACATGGAGCTGATTAACCCAAGTGTGTCATAGTGAAACTGAAAGTCCTTGCTGACAGAACCTTTTGTGAGGAAAGGCGTTTCAGCAATGATCCTAGTGAAGTTGTTTTTTTGGATTTGATAACTAAAAGCCTTCCAGGTTACATCTAAAAGTATGTTCTCCAGATTAAAAGAAAAAGGGAGTAATTTGGGGGAAATGCTTGATTTGAAGTGTCTGTGATTTCTTTCAGCAGAGTTAGTAACAATCTTCTCTTCCCATTTAGGATCTGAGGAAGTCTTCAGAGAAAAACAGGGCAGTGGAAAACTCATTGTAAATGAGAGAACCTTTGTGTAGAACTCCAGTTTTCTTGGAAATAGGTGCCTTTTTTCTCTTTAGCTCCATCCCAAAATAATTTGATTAGTGGACTATTTCTTTGAGTTCATCTTTGAACCTGCTGCAGGAAGTCCTGCTGGGTTCTGGCTGATCTGAGCCTGAGTTGGGCTCAACTGCCTCTGAATTCTGGCTAATCCAAGTGCAGGGGCTGCAGAAGCTCTTCTGCAGCACAATGAAAAAGACTCAGGATGAAATGGAATCATAGGATATCCTGAGTTGGAAGGGATCCACAAGGATCATAAAGTCCAACACCTGGCTCCACACAGCACCACCCAAATCTCAGATCTCATGGCTGGTCTCCATCATTTCTTCAACAGCTATCCTGGAAAGACAATGATGGACCAGAAGGGGAAGGGGTGGAAAAAATTTCTCTGGAGAGAGGAAGTTCCAGGAAAAGATTCATTTGTCCTACAACTAAAGTAAAAATATATTCATCTTGAAGATTGTCACACAAAACTACTTGAGTCTTTACCTTCTTCCCTCTGCTTAATACCAGGAGAGTGTTACCCTCCACCACCTGTGTCTTAAGATTTTTGTGGTGTGCTTCAGTTAAATATGAGATTTAATATTATATAAAATAAATATTGATATTTATATAGATAAATATTGATTTTCTCATTTTTGAAATGACTTAATTTATTTTCAGGATTGTCTTGCATTCGCTTTACCACAAATGGCAAAGCTCCAGCTAAAGGTGGAATTAAACCTCAAGAAGCTGAGGATTCTGATCTGAGATCTTCTGATCCTCTTTAAGAACGGTGGATGCAGAAGGAATTACTCATTAGAAAGTAAAGGGAATGGTTCCCCTGTACTGCAGTGTGGGCTGCACAGCAGCAAAGGTGTGCCTTGTTGGCATATGCATGTTAGATTACTTGCAAGCAGTACAAAAATATTTGTCTGCGATGCATACCTGAAGTGACCTTCTAAATAGCGAAGTAATCACTGCAAGTGATGTCTTGTGCAGCTAGCCAAGGGACTGGTAAAAGATTGAAATAAAACTTCTTTATAGTGGAAGTATATTTAGTGATAGTTGAGACTCAGGAGCTAAAACTTGTCAATTGATTGTTGATGCCATTTCATCTATTTCCCTTTAGGTGCAGAGGAACAAACTCTTGAACCGTTCTTTGGAGGTTTTTGATCTGCTCAGCACCTGTGTGTGCTGGTGCCCCACATGTTTCAGAGTCTCAAAATGATTAGTCTGCTCTTGGGATCTCCTTCAAAATTTGTTTTGGTAACTGGTATTGACAGAAGTCAGCTGTTGGCAGGCTGCTGTAATCCTTACGCAGATCTTTCTCCCTTGCAACTATTTGTGAGAGGAATCCATGTGTTTCTTTCCTTATCACCTATTCTAGGGCATTTTAGTAGATGAGAAATCAGAATTCTCAACCGTGCAAGTTCTTGTTCAATATAGGATGCAAAGTGCTTCTAGCAAAACAAAGAAAACTGGAAATTCCTTCCCACAAAAAAAAATTCATCTGCACATTAGTCCTTCGTGTTTTAGAGATGTGTGTTCCATTCTGTCTTCTTTTCATTAGAAGCGCCAGATTGACTGCAATCATTTTCTCAGTACTTTCATTATTTTTGCAACCACAGCAGGAGCACAGCAGCTGTAATGCTCATGCTTTTAGAAGCTTGAAGACACTGAAAATCTGCTGTGATAAGACACTCATTTGAGAAGACGTACCTTTCAAGCATTAAGAAAGTCCTGGCTGCAGAAATTAGCATTAGATAGCATCTAACTCTGGCATGCATACGTGATAAATAAGAGTGGAAGTCCTGCAGCACCCGTGTTTGTGCACAGCGGTAGCCCTTACATGTGGCTGTCACAGTTAGAGCAACGTGTAGTGAGCCATCAGTGTCACTGTGTTTTACCACGTCACGTAGGCACGTGGTTTTATCACTCTGTATTTCCATCGCCGTGGTTTAGAAACTTTCTGTGGTAAAAGACAGGGCGGCTGTGGTCTAACTGTCCTCAGCTTATCGCCCATTTCCATCGCAGCCCACCTCCTCTGAGCTGGTTGTGACTGGTTCAGTTCACGGGTTTTTTCCACTAAACAACCTAAGCTTCCTGCCATTAGCCCCCCCTACACCCCACGCCTGAAAACATCCACTTGTCCTCCTACTTGGGCCAAATAAATAAGAATACAAACGTGCTATAAGCAGCGTATGCCTGTATAAATACACTACAGGGGCATGTGATCTGTTGCAAATGTGAGACTTGCAGCTATGCACTTGAGAAACCCCATAAACTGTGAGATAAGAGCTATTCTGAACATTGTTCAGCACTGCTTATGAGCAGGGTTTTTTGTTCAAAAAGCTTAAAAGGCCATGTTTTCTCTTTTTTTTGCTCTGCAACACGGACAGCATCTTTTGATTTGTACGTGAGACGGCACAAGTGGATTTGAGGATGATCTTAGTAAAAGCAGACTTGATTCACTGTAGCAATCAAATGCATTTCTAGCCTGATGGACTAGCAGGTATAATGGTGAGGGAGGCCTGGCAGTGATATTTTGTTTCTCGAATCTACAGTAAGTACATTTCCCAAATACTTTTCTGTCTGTTGTATTTCACTTGCACTGGAATCAAGCCTTAGCAAATAATAACACAGGATATCAGCCCATTTTCAAAGAGAGTTTGACTAAAGATTATAGAATTTCAGAATCTTAAAGATTGGAAGGGATCTCTGGAGGTCATCTATTCCAACCCCTGCTAAAGCAGATTCCGTAAGAGAGGTTACACAGAAAGCATCCAAGGTATTGAGTATCTCCACAACATCTCTGGGCAGCCTCTTATCCTCTAAGTAAAGCAGTCAATCCTCATGTTCAGATGGAATGTGAGAAATGTGTTCCATTTGTACCTATGGTCTCTTGTCCTATCACTGAGCGTCACCAAAGAGAACCTGGCCTCATGCACTTGGCTCTTGCCCTTTAGATATTTATAAGCATCGATGAGATTTTACCCTTGAGTTCTTTTCTCTAGGCTGAGCAGTCCCAGGTTTCTCAGCCTTTCCTCATGAGGGGGGTGCTCCAGGATCCTAATAATCTTCGTAGTCCCCCTCCGGATTCTCTCTAGAAGTGCCCTCTCTTGGACTGGGGACGCCAGAAACTGGACACAGTGCCCAAATGTGGACTCAGCAGAATGGAGTAGAGGAGGAGGAGAACCTCTCTAGACCTGCTGGCCATACTCTTTTTAACAAACCCATTGGCCTTCTTGGCTGCAAGGACACACTCCTTGCTCATGGTCAACCTGTTGTCCACCTGGATACCAAGTTCCTTTTCTGTAGAAAGAACAGTTTGTGCTTGACTGTCTCTTTTATTTTCTTCCCATTCTCACTGTACAATTACATTGTCCTTCTCTTCATCATCCATCATTCCTGTCTGTTATCATTCTGCTGCTTCATCAGTAAGGTCAAATTATAGAGTCCTAGCTCTATATCTTTATTTCCCTTTGGCTTGTGACAGATACATTCTCTGTTCTAAAGGTAGATGTACACCTCCTTCAAGAACAGAAGTTTTGTTTCCCTGCTTCTCTTCTGGACATCACCCATCACCCTATTACTAAAGGCTCACAACAGACTCTGTAAGCAGAGGTAAGGGCCCATGACTGGGACCTGTGTTCATACTGCTGGTTGGACCATTTCTTTTGAGCCCAGTCTGTCTCTATTTCGTTCCCTGAAATCACTTTGACTCTCAAGCTGACGTCTGCAAAGCTTGGCTGAATACAGCTGAAAGATAATTACATTCCATCAGGTTTTGTAAATATTGAAGCTAGGGCAGTGCTGAAATAGCTCAGCTAGGAGAGAGTTAGACTGAAGATCTAAAGGTCCCTGGCTGAGTCTTGAGTGTCAGCAGTGGTTTTCTGATAGTTTTGAGGGCTCCAATTCTGGGCTCATCTGTACAAGACAGACATGGCATGGAGGTTGTTGAGAAAGCCCAGAAAAGAGCCAGGAGAGATAATCAAGAGACCAGAGTATTTTTCATATGAGGAGAGGCTCAGAGATTTGCTACTGGTTGCCATGGAAATACTCAAAAGACATCTTTTGAGAAGACACAGTCCTGAGCTGCCTGCTCTGGCAGCCCTTCTTGAGCAGGGGTGGAAGACAGGCCTGTTGCAACAGCACTTTGTTTCTCCCCAGCTTTGCTGTTCACTGGATAAGACTTAATGGGTTAATTTTCATTTTTCTATGTAGAACTGTGTCCCCATTTAAAAATAGGAAAAGAATAAAAGAAAAACGAGTGGTTTTAAGGATCCTTCATTCTCCAAGGAATTCAATGGACATGGAAAATAACCAAGCTTTCAAGACACCGTGGTACAGCCTGTAGAACAAATAGAGGTCTCACAAATGCCTCTCAAGGGAAGCTTTTATTGCTCTACATCATTACAGGTTTGGTGCAGGCATTCCTCTCCAAATTGTACAAGCTCTAAATTAGCAAAACCTGGAGATGAGGAGTTCAAAGTACAGCATCTGAGAGTTTTCTTGTGATGTGAGAACACTTTCTCTATTGAAGCACCAGCTGTAAGGTTTTGCTGAGTTTGAAAAGATTTCTCTAAACAAGGTGATAACTGCGATCGTTTTGTACCTTTGAAGATACGATATGCAAGTTTTCAGTTTGTGCAGCAGTGCTAGCCTGTGGCCTGGTGAATTTCTTAAATTCCTATAGATATGCACGTTAAAATTGCTTTTATGGTCATTAAACTTGCTAAAAGATAATATCTTTGCTTTCAAAAATCATGCCTTGCTGAGTCTTTTAAAGCATTTATCGCTTCAGAATATTCAAGTCCTGATTTGGTGGACTTGATTTATTTTTTGCAATAAATCATTGAAAGTAAAAAATAATAATAATTAAAAAAAGCATCAATGCGTTTTCAGCAGTGGAATGCTCCTAACTGATCCTAAAATGCTTTGATAAAATGCATCAATGTTTTATGTTTTGAAAGCTCCATTACACCTCTACTCCTATGCATGCAAAAATACTTTAAGCAGGAGGAGGTTCCTCATGTTGTATTACAGAGTTCCTACTAAAACCCTATGTAAACTTATTTTTTTTGCTCACCTCCACCTCAGTTCAATACTCAGAAAAAGTTAGGAAAACACTAGCAGTAAAGCACAGCAAACCCTATATGCCTGTTCTCCTAGGATTGTTTCTGTTGTTGTATCTAGCATGGAGAGCAGGAGAACCTATGTGGATAATTATACAGCAAAGCAAATTGAAGACAATCTTATAAACCTTTCCAAACCCAGTATTTATGTTCTCTTTCCCGAGGGCTTGGCTGCATTCCTTGCTCTGTACTTGAAGAAGAAGAAGAGTACGATGGCATAGTACATGGAGCTCTTCAGAAGCAGAACAACGTACACCAACTGCGCTGCCTTGTGCGTCAAGTGATCTGCAACAGATGTAAGGCAGAAAATTCCTGTTGAACATCAGTACTGTGCAACCTCCTAGAAGAAACAGGTAGAGCCAGGTCTGTGTGCTACATTTATGTGGAAATGTATGACACGGTGTCTGACTGTCCCCTGAGCAGGCTGCAGATGGGGCAGGTTTCTTAGCGCTAGACTGCCTGCCAGGTTATCATTCCCTGCAATGCAAGAACTTCTGGCTCTTCCACCATCAATAACACCGTGTTTCCTGGAATCATTTTGCATCAGTTTCTTGACACGAGTTCCCAAAGTATTTCCTAAATCCTCATTCAATCTAAAGGAAAGCTTCTTTGCCAGTTGCTAGTCTGAAGAAGCATCAGCTCAAGCACTGTGCATTTAACTGTGCTGAGTATTTAAAGCAGTGACGTTTAATGCAGGCTAATAACCTAGAGCAGCAGCCCCAACAACATCTGCAACCAGCTAACAAAGTCCAGCCAGGAGGGCTGCTTTTTATACTCCAAAACATGGTGATTCAGAGTAGCATGGAAGCCCTTTTAAGTTGCAGACCCCAGAATTTAACAGATTTCCTGCAAGCTATTTAAAATGTTTGCGTTGTTCATATTAAGCGATATCTAACTTCCACATTGCTTTCCCCCATTTTAATTCATTGTCATTACCTCTGTTAAAAACTGTGCTGTTTTCAGTGCTACAGTTCTTCTGAAGAGAGCTCTCTGAAGAAAGCACTGGAAAGAGAGTTTAAATGACAAAATTGGACTTTAATTTTAACAAAGATTAACATAGGGCTAAAAAGAAGAGCAACAGTGAAGTGCAAGTTAGTATTTAAAAAAGTAGGATGCTCAAGACATGTCTGTAGATCAGTTGTCCACCAGTAGGATTCCGTCACGGGGGGAACTGAAGGGGACAAATATTGATACAGAAGTGAATGAGTGTTTGTTGCCTCAACCCGGGGCTTTGCTTTTGCCCTTTTGTGAATGCCTCTGTTAGGCAGATTTTTGGCAGCAGCTCTTTAATTTCCCGATTGAAGTCAATCTGAGCACCCGGTTGTCACTCACGTTCCCTCTTGTGAATTTGCTGTTCCAGTGGTAGATTTGTGTCTCTAAAATGACCTCCCTTTCTTGAGCTTTTTTCCTTTTGGGGTTTGTTCTCAGTTATGGTATTTGAATTCATTGAGATGGGGGCTATAAGTACACTTGAAACATACTTTTGTCAGAATATATTCTGAAAGTAATAGCTGTGTATGGCTGTATTTTCACGGAGTGGAGCTGTACTCATGTACAGCAAGGTGAGCTCAGGAAAGATTCACCTATCCAGAATAAGCAGCTTTCTCAGTGATGTTACCATGATTCAACCCATTTGTAGGTTTAGACCAGTTATTACAGATTGCATTTTTTTTTTCCCTCTGAAACTATATTGGCTTTCAGATTTTTCCTCACGTAATCAGTTTTCCAGCAATTAAATAATTTCTTTCTTTTTAAAGTGGTTATTACCTCCCTGCCACCAGACCATGAACAAGTAACACATTTAAACATTGCTCTACACACCCATCAGCCTTATTTTTACCTCCTGCATTTATTATAGCCATGTCTGATGTCAGAGGGCTCGATGCCTCTGCTGTAACACAGCAGTAACACAGTTTTGAAGAAATTCTGCATACTGCCAGGTAAGTCAGTGCAGAAATTTTGGTGCAACCCTGCTTTACACCTGGTGACACTGAAGAACTACAAAGGGGCCTTCGCTTGGCAAACTCAGCACAGATTGATTTTTTTTCTCCTGGAAAAGCTTAGATTGTTTCAGCTGATGAGAACTTCAGTTATGGTGCCTAGGAATGCAGCAGCTTGCAGGAGTAGTAATGTACAGCATTATTTCTGGAATTTTGCTGAAAAATAAAGATTCATTTATAAAAAAAAAAAAAAGAAAGACATAGTAGGTAGAATAAAACATTTAAAATGCAGTGCTTACCATGTGTGAGCAGTGACTGGTCTCCACTTTCATGCTCAAAATGGCAAGAATATTTCTTGTTTTTGTCCTCCAGTGGTACAGATAACCAGGAGCTGACTGAGTACTTCTCCTCACCTGGAAACTTCCAGACATCTCCTTTTACTACGTTCTGTGTTACCTCCTTTTGTGCTTCATCCATCCATTTCACCCGAACAACTTCTGGGTAGAATTTCTCAAACAGACAAACATACACAAGTTGGTTTTTGTGCTCCTTCTGCAGGATTTCAGAATTCTCTGGTCCAGAATTTCCTTTGTCTGGATTTATTTTTGGAGGGGAGGAGAAATAACAAGATGAAGAGTTGGAATCTTGGTAGTGTACAGCAATAAATCACAGGTGTTCAGAGACAAAATATTTCTTCTGGACAAATACTTTAGCTCTCCAGTTTATTATGAAATACTTAGGATGGGAATAACGATGGCTCATGTACAAAACACATTTTAGGTAAGCGGATGGATGGATTACAACCCTTGCTATCCTTTATGTAAAAATAAGCTTTCATTTGAGCTGACTCTACTTGACATTTAGACACGGTTTATATGAAATGAATTTAAACTATTAAATCAAAATCTACCACTTGGATTCCAGTCAAAAACAGTTACAAGACTCTTTTGAATAACTGGGAATAGAAAACAGGACTTCCAATCTTATTTTAAATATGCTATTTCGTAGAGAACTAACAGCAAAGCAATTGCAAAAGTAGAAGATTCACTTAAAACAGTCTAAACTCAATGTTGCTTATACAACATATAGACTCTTCCAAGTCCAGAGAATGTTAGATAGAAGCTTTCATACTCTGCCACACACATGGCAAAACATCATTTGAATTCCAAATTGTTCAGTGAACGCGAATATCTAGACAGCTCTGCTCATGCTTGTCCATGCCAGCCTTCCCAGCAGAACTGCTCTCAAACAGAGTCTGCATAGGTCATAGGCAATTATTAAATAATAAGTGATGGTTCCAGAAAGAGCTGTGTTCATTCATTTATTTGGGAACAGGAAGTTTTTCCAGGATGCATGAAAATACGTTCAGTTATGTGAATATACAGATAAGCTGCAATTATATTTAGCAGAAAAAAAAGCCAAAAACCTGTCAGTGGATTTTGATGTATTTTCAGGCTTATCTGTAAAGTTAATTAAGTCAACAAGCTGATTTACATTGACTTATCTGTGCACAAGATCCAATACTTTCTGAGGAATGTTGAAGTAGTAAATGTCCACTCTACACTCTGCTGCCTTTTTTCTTTAGTTACACTCTCTCTAAGCTGCTTATTTCATCGAACAGTTCTTTTATGCAGGCTTGAAGAGGCAGCCATGTCTGTTTAAAAGAACATATCACCATGCAGATGTAACCTGCACATAATTCTTAAGCCAGTGCATGGCTTTTCTTGTAATGAAGCAGGGAGAGTTGGGTTGAAATTTTAATTATCCTTTTTTGGGTGGCCCCACAAAAAGTGAGCTGAGAGCACTCAGCTTATAGACAGCATCTTGGATCTGAAGTGTTGGTGATAACATTGCCTATGCTGAGCCTCCCCAGGAAACTTAAGGAAGGAGCCTCCACTCAACCTTCACTCCACAACTTTGCCATTACAAAATGTAAACAAATAAACAACAACAAAACAAACACCAACCCAAAACAAACAGAAAAACAAGAAAAAAGACCTGATGGAAATGAGTTTACGAGATTCGTGCCAGTGCCAAGGATCTGGTATAACCACACTGCTGTATTTCCTTACAGAAAATGTTTATGACATTTTGGCCAGAGAAGTATTCCGTTTTATGAACAAAGAGAATCTAGTTATTTAGCTAAAAATCATGTGGAAACTGTGAGCTCAATTTCAGTTTTCATTTCTATTCCCAAAGAGTCTTCAGTGAAATGCACTTAAAATTCCATTTCAAGCTGATCTTTGCTATTACTTTTTAGAAGATACTAGAATAAACCAAAACCGTTGATTTCTGAGGCATTGACTGAGCTACCACACATCTACTTTTTTTCTTTTTTTTTTTTTCCCCAGAGAAATTAATTCTTTTTTAGGGATGCTGAGTTGCTTTTGACCACATGATCCTAAAAGCATTGATTTTATTTGATTTTATGATATGAAACTGAATGCAAGGTCTTAACCACTCATTTTGAATCCTTTTTTTATCTCTTTCAAATCCTTCCAAGTTCTCGTTTTGTAACAAATTTTGTGTGTGCTTCTCTATACACTGAAATAAAGATCTCTAAAGATCCATGGGAGTGGAGGTTTGTCAAGCATGTTTTCATCATCTGTGAGCAAAATCAGCCTGCTTTGGTGATATCAATATGTGTAGGCTGTTTCTCTAGCTGAATCTACTGATGCACAAAAGCTGAAACTCATCACACAGTATTACTCAGCAATCCATTTCCAATTTCTGTGAAACACAGATTGTTTTGGGTTAACAACTATAAGGAGGAAATATTGTACTGGAAGGCAACTGGAAGTGTAACTATTAGGATTATTTAAATAACCTTGATTTAGATAAACCATTTAGATAACTATTTAGGTTGTTCTTTTGTATCATGGTGTAACTAAGAATGATTGTGCTTTTTATTAAAAAATTGAGAGGGGAAAATGATTCTTTTGCCAAAGATGGTGCACATAAAGAAACACCTTGGGCTCCTGTTTAACTGAATTAACGAAAAGCACTACAGGAAATCTGGGCTGGACAGTCCTGAACAGCCACAGCTCCTCTCAGGCTTGTTGTAGGAGCCCTTACTCATTTTGGATCTTACTCTGCATGCTGAGGTCCATTGCAATATGCTCACACGGGTGTGGGGTCAGGACTGATGACCTCCTGCTCCTGCCCTACTTGCATACAGAGTACTGATGTTAGTGTAGGGTGTCATTACCAAAATGGCAGCATCACACAAGCATTTCGGTAAATTTGAGATGGATTTTGCTACTGCAAATTCCACATCACTTTTCTGTCATCTGTATTACCTTGTTAGAACAGCATACCACATTCTTTCTCCTCTAGGTTGCCTTAAAAGAAAGAGGTACTCAGTTCACCTTCAGGCCCGTGACATCCTTGTTATTTTTGCTAATGTCATTAGCAGATGTACCTACTAATATTATTAACGAGGATTAGCTCTGCAGTTTTCTTTAGATTGCCCACATCTTCCCTTATTTGTTTCATGCACAACCCTTTCTCCATAACACTGGTCTGGGCTTTCAAATCTAATGGGTTTTGATGCAGAACTTCATGTTCTTCCCCATAAACACACACAAAAAGCAAACACAAAAATACTAATGAGTGCATTTTGATTTAAAAGGGCAGAATATCAATTTAATTCAATTTTAGATGATGTAAGTAAATGTAAGCATAAACAATATATAAGCAAGATGTATTTTAGTCTATAAAATTGCAAAAAATAATTCTAGCTATTTGACTACTGAACTTCACGCTTTTGATGAAATCGTGGTAGATTCCTTGGTAATATTTAGGAGTTGGCATCTAAAGAAATCAAATATTGCTGCTGCAATTTCTGCTGTGCGTTTATTTACTAGAAATATTAATGGATTCTTTGTCTGATTACTTCCTAATAAGCTAGCAGTGTACTTGTGAGGTGCCAGATCATAAGCATGAGGTAAATGTAGGCTTTTTATTCTCTTAATTAGTCAGGAACCTTGGCCCTTGTTAAGGAAACTGAATCCTGCAAGTTTTGGTAGACACTTGAAAATCATTTATTTTAAGCTGTAAATACTAATTAAATGGTGGCCACCTGATCACCAATGTAAGGGCTTTCACTTAATTCACTTAATTTCACTTAACACAAAAAATGTCCCAACATAGATATTTCTATTGAATTATAGTTATGATTTGGCTAGTCTTTCATAAAGGAATTGTTTAAAACAATCTTTGATTGATAGGCTAGTATAAGGCAATGCATTTCATCAGGCTTAAAATATTTGGAAGCAATAGTTCCCCACCCTTGTGCTTCTGTAATAATCTACCTTAGGATTACAGTGTTTAGATTGCCAGTTAATGGGGAAAAAAGAGGATTTTGTTCTCAGTGTACCATTCAAATAAATATCTCTGCAGGAATGGCAAGAAAAAGGTGACTTCTTCAAGTACATGTTAATAATGTTAAAGTTAATGTTAATAATATGTTAATAAGAAGAGGAGAATTTGGAGGTACTATTTTATTTCTACTGCCAAAGCGCTGTGTAGATAACAAAAATAATTAAGCACAAATTCTTTCACTTTTACTAGTCTAACTGAAAAAGGACTTCAGCAATTTTCACCATTGCAAATTGTTACTTGAATCTGTATTGAGAAGAGGATTTCTTTTTTTATGTTTAATTCACAACTGCTTGATTCTGTTGTTAATGCTTCGGTAATTGGAAGAAAGCATGAGGGCTCTTGAAACTATGCCTGATCATTTTTCACAATATTTCCAAGGAGGAGTTATGCTCATAAGTGATAAAAAAAGCAGCTCCTGGGTATATTTGCGATCCTAAACCACTGCATTACAAATCAACAAGACTGGCAGAATGACAAGATGAGGGAAACCCACACGGGGACAGTGCTGACCAAAGCTCTAAGCAAGCTGAATGTCCTCCAGGACACCATAATAATCAATCTGCATGAACACAAAAAACTCCTATATCTTATGGTAAGGAAAGTAACTTACCTGACACAATAAGCTTTGTACCAGTGCCGAAAACTTTGTAGTAATATCCGTAACACGATGGATAAAGTCTTTACAATATCAGATCTGTTATCTTTATATCACAGTATCTCAGAATGGCTAACGTTGCCCATGGACTCTTGTCCTGACACTGGGTGCCACTGAAAAAAGCCTGACTTCATCTTCTTCACACCCTCCCTTCAGGAATTTACAGATATGGTTGAGATGATCCTGAACCTCCTCTTCACCAGACTGAACAGACCCAACTCTCAGAGCCTCTCCTCCAACCCCTGTATCATCTTCATGGCTCTGTGTTGGACTCTCCCAAATACACCAACGTCCCTCTTGTTCTGTGGAGCTCAGAACTGGACAAATCCACAAGTGGGCTCCTTGGTGCTGAGCAGAGAGGAAGGATCCATTCCCTTGACCTGATGGCAATGCTACGCCTAATGCAGCCCAAGATACTGCCAGCCTTCTTTGTGACAAGGGCACATTTAATTCATGAGTAAATATTATTATATAAAGATAAACAGATTCGATTTAATCAATTTTTAGATCCTAGAACAGCAAAAATAATCAGTAACCTAAAGTAACTAACTAACTAAATACATGGTGTGAAGATTTTGAGGAAACATTCATTGCTAAATGGGCAGGGTTCATCTCAACTAATTTCAGTCTTTCAAAACTTTAGATGGATGTAGCAGACTAAGTAATTTCACTCCTTATCTGCTACTTGGAGAAAGCAGCAACAGCAGAATCATAGAATCACAGAATCACAGAATGGCTCAGGGTTGGAAGGGACCTCAAGGATCATCAAGCTCCAACGCCCCTGCTACAGGCAGGGCCACCAACCTTCACATTTAATACAGGACCAGACTGCCCAGGACCCCTTCCAACCTGGCCTTAAACGCTCCCTTAAAGCACCATAAAATCAGCCCTAGAATCAGCGAACATTATGGTGAGAGCTGAGCAGCACAAACCCCCTGATCAGAATTTTTGTTATCAGAACATGAAGCAAAACCTTAATTAAACATCAAACCTCCCATTACCAATACACCCCATTTTCAGATGAGCAAAATTAGAGTTTCTATCCCAGGTACTTAGTCAAGCCAAACCACAGGCAGGCATCAAACATCTGAACGTTATGTGAAGAAATAAAATTCGATAGAGTATGTCAGTACTTTGGGAAAGGAAAATTAGTGTCTCTACAGTTCAGCACTCTTAATAATAACAACTGATAGCATGTAATAAATGATACTAAGAGAGAGAGGGAGAGAGAGTAGTCTTTCAGCTGTGCAGGTCTTCAGACAGTTCTGGGCATTCTCCCACTATTTGGCATAGTCAGAGTGAGACACAAATAAGCGTCTTGCTCTTCTTTGCTCTTCCAAGATTCTGAGTAACTCAAAATTGCCAGTCTTTTGGAATGAATTAGACATGTCACAAGAGTGGAATACACACCATTGAAGATAAAAAAAATTAAAATCTTTTATTTCTCTGAACATTATCTTCGCCACATTTAAATTCATCTTTAAGGAGAAAAAAAGGGGTTATGTATATTCTCCACCGGAATAATTGCCTCATTTTTCCCATTTCACATACAAATACAAAACAATGATGTTGTGTTCTGCATCAGAAAATACTGTTTGCAGGTAAAATCCTGCAAAGCATTCTGTTTTAATCCTAGTGGGAGGTAAAGAACCAGAGCACATCACGTAGTCAACATCTAACAGTATGGAAATGCATTTCAGATGTAGTTTTATTTCACACTCACCTGAAACAATAAGCTTAGTTCCACTTCCAAATATTTTCTCATCACCATAGCACAGTGTGATAATGCTTAGCAATATCTTCTGCACTTCATTTTTCTTTCACAAGCCACAGAGATTATTTCTCTGATTTAGAAGCTGGTGATAATTATTTGGCCAGCGTAATAACTGAAATTTTAGTATGGACTGAGTGCAATATTTAGAAATACTATGATTTTATTTTATTTTTTCATAGAGAGTGAAATGTCTCAATTTTTAAATGTAGCATTTCCTGAAAAGAAAGCTGTGTCATGCTTACTTACTGTGCTTTAGCCCTTTTAGTGCTGGGATGTTTGTAACAAAATCTGCTGCTTCTAGCCTACTTCATTTTCTCTAAAGTAACTTTTAGCTGTTCTTTTAATAAGAAATGTGGTTACATTATCATTCCCAAAGGAAAATAAAATTAATTACTTGGTATTTGTGGATTTAGATAAGGTATCTTGCACAATATTGCTGTGTGAAAATACCTTAGATTAAGCTTCATCACACTCTTAGTTCAAAGCCAATGTTTTACATGCAGAGACCATATTCTAAACTAAAAAAACACCTGGTATGTGTTTAACAAAGTTTGTGGCTGTTCTGAGTGATTACACTGTTCCCTCTTTGGCAAAAATACCTGCCTGTATACAGACAAAATCTGACTGCAAACTGCAGGAAACTGCAACTTTCTTCTGCTTTTTGCAGTTTGGTTTGTTTATACTCACCTTGGTAAGCTCATGTATTTTCTGAGCAAGGCACTGTAGGCACTGCTGTCTGGTTTATACTGACAGTAGCATTCTTACTACAGACTGCACAGTTTTTGAGGAGTCACTGAAGGCAAAGGGAAGCTGGTTGCTTTAGGTACAGCCAGGACCACGACATTTATTCAATTCCTGGCAATTTTACTTCCCAATTAATTTAGGCTGAATCACAGCTATAAACAAGCAAGTTTTGGCATTTCTGACTAGTTGAACTGAGAGCTGTTCTACAAGCTTTCTCACAATTCATTATTCTTTCCTGGAACAGCACAAGGAATGTATCCACCACAACATTTAAACTTCTACCTCTCCTCGTTTTTCCACCCCCATCCTCAACAAATATTCAGAAATCTTTCCTGTGATCTCTCTATCCACTAGGTTGATATTCATGCCCACCAACACCCAACTGCAAGCACATTCACAGATTAGAGACAAAATATGACCTATCAGGCAGAAATTATTTTTCCTAAACACTTACATTAACAACTATAATCTAACAACACAAATAACGGTGTAAAAATCAGATTGGTATCAATGGTACTTACTTGAGACAATCAGCTTAGTTCCTGTGCCGAAGTATTTGATCCACGCATTACACACTGTGCTTTAGCTTTGCAAAAATCTGAAGTGCTCTCATAACATGCAGGCACTGAAAACAAAAAGCCCTTTTTTACTATTCAAGCCCTGGGAGACTCCTTGAGGGATGGGCTGGCATTGCCTTGTTGGAGGATGTCAGGAATTTCAGATTTGCACTCAGTGTTCAGCAGATATATAATTCCCTTTAGATCAAATCTTTCTCTAAAAAGGTCCTAAATTGGTCAGATAACCCATCCACTTATAATGATTAAGTGAAGGTATCCTCTTCAATTTTACACACACAAGTCAGCCCATGGGATTATACATCTTAAGGAACCACATACACTCAGGTGATCACACTGCTCATCCTCAAGGGCGTACTCCACCTCTCATCCAGAATTAAGTACCATCAGCTAGTACTAGGATACAATCCAGCACTGGGAGCTACTCTGCGGTCCATTGTGAAGGTGTCCATGTGCTGCATCTGCCATTTTCTGTCCCAGCACATGTCTGTTACCTGTCTGCCTCCTGAACTCAATCCTGACCCTGAAATAACCACTCACAGACATTTTTTCCTGTATCAGCAGGGTGATGAAGGCTGTTCCTTTGCACACTTATTCCTTTCAGGACAGCACAGGATAACATCTGAGAAAACCCAGGTACTGTGAGCCAGCCTGCATGCTTAGCTTGACATTTCAAAGAAAAAGTCTGAATACTTCTGGGACCTTGTGTGCCCTAATGACTACAAACCAACGTCAAGAAAGTACGGTTTGTGGCTACAGGAAGGAACCAGACTGCAGATGGTTTAAGCAGTTTAGACCAACTTTCAGTTTAAGCAGATGTAAGAGAAACAGTGGTCTACTCTTAAACTCTTCTGGGTTGAACAGGCTGCCCAGTGAAATAAATGGTGGTTATCCATCTCTGGGGGTATCTCAGAGTCCCCATCTCGGGAGGTATCTAAAAGCCATGTGGATGTAGTGCTTAGGAACATGGATTAGTGATGGACTTAGTAGTGCTTGCTGGATGTGAGGACTTCACGATCTTATGGGGCTTTTCCAACTTAAGAAATTCTATTATTTTTATGGCAAACATAGTGCACTACCAGCAGTAACACAGGCAGAAAAAGAAGCTGACCAGTTCTTCCCCAGCTGTGTCCTGAGTCACGCTGTGAAGGATGCCACTGCATCTCATAGTTAGAAACACAGAAAGAAAACCTCTGAGTGCTGCAGAAATATTGTCCAATTCCTCTGTGTGTTTTTGGCTTGCAAGCATTAGTAGGACGAAACTCAACAATAGCACATTTGGACACCAACTAGATACATGAAAGAGTGTCACCAGCATGGAAAAGAGCTGCTTTGTACTGAAGAAATCATAGAATCATGAAGGTTGGAAAAGACTGCTATGATCATCTAGTG